TGTGTGTGTATTGTGTGAATGTGCGCGCGTGCTTATATGTATATATATAGCTGTGTATTTATACATATATACATAATATATGCAATGTATTGTTAAAAGCAATTTAAAGAACTTTAACAATAATTTATATATAATATAAGCAATACTTTAGAAATATAATTAAACAACTATTTCGTTTTACAACAATAGAATGAATGTACTCGCGTACATATTATTTTATTATGTATTTATATACGCGCGCGTGTGTCTATTATCTGTATGTTGTACGTATGTATGTATAAGAAGAAAGCACACTCACTTATCAGGAGATGACGGGGGAGTGAGAGTGATGGTGCTGAGAGCGATGTCTGAGGAGTCATTGTTGCTAGCAGAAGCATTAGAGCTGGCGTTTGTAGATGCAACGGGAGTAGCTGACGTACTGCCGCCAGAACCAGTCGGAGCTTCTAGCGAACCAGCGTGACCACCGACGGTTGACCCAGGACTCGCGGACCTACTGCTGTTACTTGTCGGTTGTTGATGATACTGCTGCGACGTCCCTGTGGCTTCTTTCTCTTTCACGCTTTTCAATTTCGCGGTACCTTTAACTACATCTGAAAGCCTATTCTGCGATTGCGTACAATCAGTACCGACAGTTTCTACCGAAGCATTATGGGATTTTGCAAGATCAGCATCTAGGCCAGGAAGAGGAGGGAAAGCAGAAGCTTCCAAATCGAACTGTACCCCTCGGTTACATTGCGTATTATTATTACTGGCCGGGGTAGTTTCTCTGATCGACGGCAACGGGCTACTGTTAGCCTTCGATAACGAGTCTTGGTCTTTGGTCCTACGATGCATACGATGACGCGAGAATTGCACTCCCGAGTCCAGAGTCTGAGCGTCATTCTCTTGGGATCCTTTCGAATGGCTGCTACTATACTGGCTTTCTCCAGTTGCTACGGTCGTATGCGAGGAATGGAACTTTGTGCCTGTCTGATAGGAAGAAGAAGTTGGCTTCACCGTAGGCAAGCTCGAAGAAAATGTCGGAACTGTCGCTCCTAAAGATATCGGTGCTCCGCTTATAGGCGGATGAGTCGTTCGTCCCATTGGCACCATATTGCCTCCGCCATCCATTAAGCCTGGTCTTTCAGGCCCATTTCTTTGTTTTCTGTATCACATACACATATATGTATAAACATTTTTGCACACATCTATAAAATAACTCTTCATGAAAATCCTGACATCAAATCGATACTCGGACATAGATTCATTTCTCGTGAAACATCGTTAAAACGAATATATCAAACTTTCGTAACAAAGGGTTTGCATGTTTACCTGTGACGGGTATTATATCTTGCGTGTGGCTTAAACGTGCTATGTTGTGTAATACCATTCATGAAGACACCTGACATATCGAAATAAGCGGGACTCGCAGGTCCCCAAGACATCATTCCGGGAGGATAAAATGGTTGATGCTATAGAAAAAATAAAGATAATCTCACACCTTTGTGTAACCACAGAATAAATCTCATTACGTAATATGGTGTCTGCTTACATATAAATGAACCTGATTGGCATATGGCGGCATGGTAGTTTGTGGCATAGTAGTACCATTTGTATAAAGGAAGCGTTGCTGTCCAGCTGTGTAACTATTTGGATCATAGACAGGTGGAGGAGGTGGCGTTCTGTAACCATTTTTAATACCACCTACGCTGGCGACTGCCGGAATCGGTAGCCTATTCATTGGTTTTGCTTTGATTCTAGCCATTATCGGCTTTCCCTAAATAAATGACAAACATAAATGTTAAAAAACCTTCGCTTATTCTTCGATTAATCACAGAAGTTGCATTGTACCGATTCTCACCTGAAACTCCCGTACTTCCTCGCGTAAAAACCTGTAGGCCTTTTGAGCATCCTCGTCAGATTCAAAAGTTACATACCAAGAACTATTATGTGCGAATTCACATGAAATAAACCTTGGACATCCTTCTCCAGAGAATAAATTCTATAAGACCAAAATTTACACACAGATAGACTAATAATCTATTTTACAGAAACATTTATTATGTATTCTGAAGTAAATCGAATGTAACTAAATAATCAATATATTTCTTCACCTTCACATCTTCCAATGGAGTGTTATCGGGTATTTCGCGGAGAATCACGATGCATCGTTTATGATTAGGTCTTACTTTCTGTCCCTCTTCATCAACTTGTACATTCGGTGATTCCCTAAGGACTTCCGTTATAAGTTTTATATCCTTCGTTAGTTTCTTCACTTGATTAAAATTTGCTACTGTCCATATTGGTACATATTGATCATTATCCATTTGCGATAATAAATATGTATCATTAGCTAAGTTCTCTCTAAAAAGGAAAACGTAAATAAAATGTGACGCTTATCATAAATGAAAATACATTTACTTATCTCTAATAGCAATCATGTAACTTTCTATACAGATCAATCAAGAAAAGAAAACAATGTGAGCTACGTTATATAACAAATACTGTTAACTGTATAACGAGCTGAATATACTTACTACTGTAAAATGGCAATGTTACCTGGAGAAGTAATATTCCAGTTGCGAAGAGAGCATTTGTTTAAGCTGTTCCAAGGGTATACCAGGGGCAGATAAATCACCCATTGGAGCAGGTTGATTTGGCACATCACCTAAAGGAGCAACATCCACTGGACCGTAACCTGCAGCACCCCCTATACCCATCGCATGTTGCGGTGAAGGTTCTAGATTAGCAACACCCGCCTCCAATATCAATTCATTCCCACTTGGAACACCGTTCATGACGCTATATTCCAAATTGGATGCAGCACTTCCGATGGCACCCCCAACAGAACCCAGAGGTTCAGGGGTGGCTGGATAAACCGCCCCTGGTGGGAGCTTGCCAATGTCCCCATTCATGTACACGTACCCTATAAAAAGATATAAAACAAAATTAGCAGGCAAATGCATGTGAAAATTGTTTCATGTTAAAAGAGCAGTTAACAGTCAACGTACGATACATTTACACATTGTAACATGTAACGTACAAGTTTGTTAGTACCTAATTTTGTTTAAATAAAGATATTAGAAGTGGGACGATATTAGAAAAGTGTGTTTTAATGGTGTCATACTCTCAGTAGAGGAGATTAATGATGGTAAATAATAAAAGAAATTAATAACCTTGGAAGGTGACCTCTCATTTTTTTATGCCCCAAAATTAAGGAGTATAGTGTTTATTTATATTACTAAATGTGTGTATAGCAACTTACTTTCCAACCTAAGAGGGTAATTTCAATACATCATCTTTCTTTAGAGTATACAACTCTCAAATGAAATTCAGTTAATAGTTCTTGTAAACCAGACACAACTAAAAATTGTAGGACCAAATTTTCAACTGTTAAACAATTTTGTCAGAGTAATGCTTTCAAAAAGTGTGATCAAAGATATGTAATATGCACAATATAATGGTCTGATGTAATACATTTGTAGAACCTATATATATATACACGCACACATATGTGTGTGAATATGTTCGTATCCACATCAGCGGACATGTACGTACACGCGCGCGCGCGCTTGTGTTCAATAGTACATAGTACGTGTGCACGATCCGTGGATGTGTCCCTGTGGGCGCGCGCGCGCGCGGGCGTGTATATGCATGCTCGAATGCGTATATGCACATACGCGAATTCAAATTGTACAAATTTATTTACACAAAATCTCTCTGAACCGTAAAGAAACGATGAACATAAAAATAGAGAATCAGCACGTCCTCGGCTCACGTGAAACGGTTATTTTCGAATAAATTACCGTTCCGATCCGGCGGAACATGACACGAAACAATGGATCGGTACATTTAAACGATAATGGAAACGCGAGATCTTTCACTGACTCCGGTGAACGTTAAAAAACTGAATGTTGATCGTACAAACCGTGCCACATGCTAAGATTTGTTCTTGTTCGGTATCAATGTGCAATCGACAAGCATTCACACTTAAACGTCACATTGTATCCTTCTGATATAGTTCTTTGGGAAAGGTTACGGCATGAAAAGTAAAAATTTTGAAAAGGCAAGATATGCAATATGTTGGATGCGATTAGCCAAATATAGAGCGAGACGTTGGCCGGGCCAACATGTTCACGCACGCAGAATATGGTGACAACCACTTGGACAGTACACTTATGCGTATCGTATATCGTTACCGAAATCACCATTCATCCCGAAACAATCCCGGATTCCATGTGCCTTTATCAATAGGTGTTTCTCGGCTGCTTCGTTTACTGGCTCGTTCTTCGGGTGTAAGTACCGTGAGCGCACACGGTTGTGCGCAAAAAACGCAACCTTATTCTTCGTTCTCAAGCTATCAATAGTTAGCCATAAGCATCTGCCCTCAATCCTCTACATCATTTGGATCAATGTGAGTCGCGCCGTTTTACAATTTTATAAAATTCTTACCGAGAAGATGAATCAACTCAACACAATTTCTCAAGGAAACTACAAAATGGCCGACACAGAAAGGCACATGCCGTAGGCTCGGTGCATTGTGGGTCGCAAGTATGTAGCCCGACTATAGTGATATCTGGTGGTTAAACTGCCACGATTCACGACCGCTAACTTTAAACCTTCACTCTCGTTTTACCGAAATGCCACACATCTTTATGTTAATATAGTATCATTATTACATCAAATCTTTCGCTTAAATAAAGATTATGTCTTGGTGAATGATTCCGGACTAACCGACTATGCACGTATTAAATTGAACTTGCTTGAGATTAATACAAAACTATCAGTGTCTACTATAGAAAGAATAGATATCTAGACAAATATGAACGTATGTGTAAGAATGCAAAGTCCAGAAGTAAGTTCAATATTTATATCGACTCAATCGTATCATTAATTGGTCATTCTAAAATATAAATAGCATTTCATACCGATGATGTGTCCTTTTATACGAACGTAATTAACAAATTCTTAACAAAAGTACGAATAGAATTTTATCTAATCTACTATTATTAAGTTCATAATGAAATAATTTCTTTCTTACGATAATATTACTAAGAAATGAAATCATCTTGTTTAATTAAACAATAAGATACAGACTTTTCACATCAAATAAGCTTATCATCTAAAACAAGGATGAGAAGAAAAATGCAAAGTAGTGGTGAATTACCATTTATTTAGAACAGCCACATTTTTTATACCGAAAACAAGTGATTTTATGTCGTCAAATACTGTCTTAAAAAAGGAAACAATTAGCCATTCTTCCTCAAAATAAATTCATTACAATTGAAGTTGATCCTTTCAATAAATAATACAATCAATGTGGAATTAAAGGCACAAAACTTGGAAATGACAATGTAAAACCCAGGCCTATTACCCTACTGTATAAACAGAACAAAACATTCAGCAATACATACAATAAGCCAATCTTGGGGCCTAAAATAATAAATTTTTTCTAATAAATTCTCTTTCTCTGAACACGTCTATAGCGCCAAGATACATGCTACCTAATCCCAAAATGAAGAGCCATCCGTTTGTATTTGTATCTATCCCTTGTATAAGTATTTTCTCAAATTACTAATTAGTTATCGTTACTACTTTAAAACGTGATGAGTTTAGTGGTTCACCTAACATAAGGCTGTAAAATATTGCTTCCTACAATCTTACAAATGTCTCATTAGAATATTGTGCCTATATATCGTTACTGTTATATATTTTTTATTGAAATATATATGTGTATATAATAGGATATCTCACGATGTATCAACAAGTATTGGTGACTGATACAGATAATTTAAGATGATAAGGTGTTGATGAAGGTGGAGTGTTCTTAGACAGTGGCATGGATGTTTGCTGGTTAAAAACCATGGACTTTGAGCTGGTCAGGTTTGGCCAGGCCCGACTTTGTCAGCCACTGACATATATTTTCTCGCTGGTCCCCCTGCAGCTGCAACACCTCCCCGTACTCCGGGTGCTCGATTACTGTCCCATTGCAGGCGAACTCCTAAAACGCAGCGTACAACAT